AACGGTAGCGATCATGTAAATTTACCAATGAAAAATGCAGATGGTAAATCCGTGAAAAAAGTGAAAAAAATAAAAAGAGAAAACCGTCAAACATCACCCCGAAATCCGAGAAAATTCCGAAGTTGAACCGACAGGAAAAGACGAGGAACACAAATTCGGGAATCTTTAAGATATTGAAACTTAAATCGAGTAAAACTGATTTAAGCGTGAAAAAAAAAAACAAAAACTGAACCCGGAATTCATAATTCTGAACACAAGTCCGACAGCTTAAAAAGTTGAATGAATAAAGCATTGATTTGAATACAACTTCCATGTATGCTCAGCAATGTCTACGCAATGTCTTGCTGTCAAGTTATGTTGTCAGTTCAATGGCATGAAGGTTCCGGGGGGAGGGGCACTTTGAGTTTTGATTGGTTTTTATGCCGTCTCTCATTTCCTTTTATTTTCTTTTTTCATTTATGTCAAAAAATCTTTAAGGTTTGTATAACAAAAGCTTTTTCCAATGTTTTTTTCTCCATACCATTTAGTTTTAAAGATTTTTTGGTATTCAGGACGAAGATTGGTTTGCCAAAAAAGCAATCTGTCAACCAAAGAAAACGAAAAGGCTCAAATGACGAAGAGGACGAAGATGATTGCCAGTCAGTGGTATTAGATCAGCGATTACGTTTTTCCTTTCTCTTGTAATGTTTATCAATTGGTTGCAAATTTGAACCATTCGCTGCTGAAAAAAAACAAAGAAGAAATCTGATGTTGGTGTTAAAGATGGCCCGGACAAGAAGAAGCAGAAGACGACTAGAACAAGTAAAGAAACGACAAAGAAAGGAACAGAAACTGTGAAAACGGTATAACTATGTTTAAGACTTTCTTTTGTGGTAAGGAGTTGTTACTCATGTGCGTTTCCATTATAGAAGAAAAAAGAAAAGAAGACTGAGAAATTTTGGAAATGGTAAGTCAAAGTTTTCAAAATGCGTGAGAATACTGGGGACGACTCTTACCTAGTGATCTGTAATATTAACCGGAACACTAACTCCTCCGCCATCTTTGAAGCCAAGACTGATGCTAGTTTTTCTGCGTTTTTAGAAGTTCCATGATACTATTTCGAAAATAAACAACGATATACATAAAATACAGTGGCAGAAATGGCCATAATAAGTTTTATTCCACGAGATTAGTTAATTTGCCTATAAACGCAGATAAAAAGGTTGCTTCAAAATGGACTTTAGCCCAAGTATTAGAGTTAACGTTCCAGTTAATTTTACAGTGTACTGCTCTCACCTCAACTCGTGCTTTTTTGCTGCAGGTGGGAGGAGGAAAAACATCCGGAAGGTATAAAATGCTCATTGAGTTCTATAAGACCTGAAGGAGAAATGGGCCTGGACCCCGTGGTCAAAATTATGGCGGTAATGGCGGATTTGGGTGGTCAAAACTTCCATTTTAATTTTTTTTTAACATTCACTCCCTCCTGATTTCTAGTGCTGTTTATGTGAACGACAACAAGTGAGAAAAAAACAGCTAATACAACACCGACAGCATATCATGTGAAAATAATGCTTCAGAATTACGTGAAAAACACAGTACACACACACATCAAAGTAAAGAAAATCGACGGTAGAGAAACGCATAATTCGGCTGTAACGTTTAAGTTATTTTATGACATTTTAACCTTTTAAAAGTGAAAATCAAAACGCCATTCTTTAGTAGACCTGTCAATCTCGTTAAACGTTTCTATTATTTCATGCTTCTGTGTGTTTGACTGTTTGTAAACAGTTTGGTGCAACTATTTTTCGTGCTCAATTGGATAAATCTGTGTTAAAGTGCTCCTAAGGAAGCGAGAAAATGTTTGCTTCAGTCCTATGACATAAGTCAACTGAATATTTACCATGGATAAGTATCATAAATGTATTATCATTACCTGATAAACTTATTGAAACCTCATAAAGAAACTATGTAGAACTAGAAGAGCTAGAAAAAAGAAAAAAAGGCAAAACACCATGATATGTTGGTTGGAAATTTGTATTTTGTAAACTGCCTGGCAGAACCTTGGGTCTATTACTTAACAGAACTACATTAATTTTCCATTGAAATTACAAATTTGGAAACTAAAATGCATTGGTTTCTCTGACAAAAAGACTCTGTCTACTGCTGCATGAAGGCAAAATAGTTAATTGACAGTGTAAGAGAAGAAATTTATCTAGTTCTATAGATATTATTGTGCATTACTTACAGTCTTTGGAATTGTGTAATGTAAATCAAGAACAAGATATAATTTTTCAAAAATGCCCTTCGAGCACTACTACTCTTCTGTTTTGCTTGAACAACTTACAGCTGCCAATACTAATTATTTTTTTGTAGAAACTAACTTTTGGGAATTAAATGATCAACAACTTGATAAATCTTTGTATTTTCCATCAAGCCTTTGAATTTGTTTCTTTTATCTCTTGGTAAAAAAGTATTAATGAAAGACTTACAAATCAAGTTTCTCAAAAATAGTATTTTGTACAAAGAAACTAAACATAATTGGAAAGGTCACAGGTTGAAGACAGACTTTGCTTCTCTGACTATGTTGCTTGACTATGAGCAATTAAAATTTGTTTACAATTTGTTAAAAGAATTCTTTTTATTGATTTGTAATAATTCTTCATAAGACACAAAGAATTTCTTTGCCTTCTATTTTTGCTTCTTCTACAATCAGCTTCATTGTAACCAATGCATCTGATGTGAATTTGTGTATCACCTGGAATCATACCAAGTATGGATTTCGTGAGATGAGACAACAATATGTTTAATTTTTCATGCATATTAATGATACAATCATAAGCTATTGTTGAACAAAAATTTCAAGGTAGGAGCAAATCTTAACATATTGTTCAACACACTTCTTTTATCTTGGTTTTGAAGTAGTAACCTGTTTACTATACCAATAATTACTTCACTTACAGAAATGCTAAGTTGTACTTTAAAACTGTTTACATAAATCCAACTTTTCAAACCCATTATAATTGTCTACACTATACAGTCTGTCAAATTGAGCAGGCAAGCAGTTTAATAGTTATTTCTATTATATGGCATATAACATAGTTCTCATTAACTTTGCATAGCACTGCATTCAATTTCAACACAACTCTGTTGCAAACTTTCCCATCATCTTTAAAAAATTAATATGAACAAATTCTGCCCAATTTTTTGGAGGTAAACTTAATTCAAATCAGGAGAGTTTAGCTTGGTCATGATACAAGATGGATGCAAAACTCGATAAAAATTGGCAGCTTCGCCACGTCTGGCGAGCAATAAAGTGAAGAACAAACAAGACTGGACAGAAAATACTCTTCAAGTATCGTGTTAAAAATAAAATAGTATAACTACAACTGTGCTACTTACCTGAGTCATGAAATGTTTCCTTTTCTGTCGATATTTCAGCATCTGCAAATCATGTAAGCTTGCAGATTGTTTAATAAATAAAATTTTAAAAAGTGTTTATGTTAGGAAAATAGTTTTGATATTTTTTCTACTACCAACCGTGGTGGTCAATCATGGTGGGCGACAAAATTTTTATTTATTGAGCTCGCGTCTCTCCGCTGACTTTGACCACCAAAATCCGCCATGTTTTGGACCACGCGGCCGCGCGCTAACAATTTATAGTAATTTTGTTGACGTTTCCCCTCCAGGTCTTATAGAACTCAATGCTCACACTAGAACACAAGGGGTCATACTTCCAACGGAGTATGAACCTCTTCCTGATAATGTCAACTTTTAGTACGAAGATAAAGAGTTTATGATCATAACTTTACAACATAGTATTCACATTTATGATAAATATTTAACTTGAAAATATATAAGTTCATTTTATAGCATTCGTTTATTTTCGGTTCTTATTCTTTAGGTGTGAAAATATAACTTTTTCTTAAAAGTGAAGAGGTTAGAATATATTGTTGCTATATTACTTTAAACAGTGTAACCGCCATGGTAAATGGCGATGAGAAGTCGAGTTACTCTGTACTTAAAAAATGTGTCTAAGGTCATGCTTTTCGAACTTTTTTTGCTAGAAGTAAAATGAACTAAACAAACTCCGCATTCTTTTCTCATATCCGAAAGCAATGCTGTTGAGTTCCTGATGCATCTTACATATGGATTTAGGAGAGAGGTGTGCACTCCTCAAGTACAGTTTGACTACCAATTACTTATGCACAAAATACCAATTTACCAAACAATTAAGCAAAGCAATACTGGTTGGTGTTCAATGAAGCATACTTTTAAAAATATCCCTACGATAATAAAAATGTAACATAATTGGTCAAAAAACTCTTGAATGCCACAGCAACAAGTAGCCATTGAAATCCAAAATAGAGCACTCTCACCCCTTTCTCAAACCTACAAAACCATCGTGGATACATTTTTGATGTATCTCTTTACTATTTCGAGTTTCTTTTTCATCATGTGGCAGGATTTTATGCAAAGATGTTGGACCATGAATACACGTCGAAGAAGATTTTTAACAAAAGCATCTTTAAAAATTGGAGAAACGAAAGGCCCGTTTACACGTTAATCAATTTTGGCACGGTACTCCAAAATTTAGGCACGCGAACTCATTTTTATAGCACTTGATTTGCGTTTACACGAGCAAATTTTCTCAGTTTGACAGGCCGTAAATTTCCTCGGGGTACTCCAATTGTTAGCGGGTCATTTTGCTGTAAATGACGTCAATTTGGCGGTTTATTCAAAATGGCGCCTTTCAATATTCTAAATAAAATAAATAAATATTTGGTATGGTTGATTTATATCCGCAAGCGTACGGAAAAACTCCTGAAAAGCAAGTCATGGACTGATGCAAGGAGTAAATCTCTACTTTTTTTCATGAATGCGATTTTGATAGCTATTAACAGTCGTCGAACGAGGGCATTATGGATGAACCCACGATCACTTGCTTGGTTTGATATGGTTGATTCGGATTTTGACGAGCTCTTTTCAATAGAACTCCTTTTTTTCTTTTGTTTCTTTCCTAGTTTGTAAGTGTTTCCAAGACTCTTTTCTCCTAAGTCTGGCTTTGGTTTGTCATTCCCTTTATCATATTCAATAGCTCGATTCTCAGCTACAGTCTGTTGATTTACTTCCACATTAACTAAAGTTTAATTAATTTTAAAAACAATTACTAGATAGCTGGAGCACATATCTTGCTTTGATGAAATAACAAACAGAAATTGTCTTCCATACAAATATTACCTGTTTCATTTGAACTGTCACAATTTGGGCAAGAGAATCGTTCTTCTTCACAGTATACCATCATACATCCATTCTCTGTTATGTGTGCTCCATCACTATATATAACTTTTTCATAATCATATGTCTGGCATTTTTTGATGGATTTATCACCTCTACCATACTTACTGACAAATCTTTAAGATTAAAAGCAAAAAATGTTTTGTGACAAGATCATATTATCATCATTAAGCAAAATGTGAAAACATTTCATTTCAAAATAATACCATTAATGATGTCATCATTTTCATCATCAACATCATCTCTCAACATGTCCGACTGACTATTTTTTTGACTATCAGCCTCAGCCATGATGTCAAGTAAAACCACTGGAGTCACATTAGGTCTTTGGGATAAAAATCTATCCAACTCTTGAAAGTATTTCCATGGCTTTTTTCTCCCATTCCCACTCTTCTTAGCATTGTCTTTTTCACTTTTATATTTTTGCTTCAATTTCTTAATTTTATTAATTACTTCTTTTAGTGTAATATCTTCATAGCCTCTTTCTTGTAATTGCTCCTTTAAAATGAATAACATGTTGCACCTTTTTTAAATAACAATAATGCATTGAACCAAGCAAAATAGTAATGCGTTCGTGGCAATTTATTCCTACTATGTACGAAATATAAGTTGTAAATGAACAACTTACAATAACACGCACTGTCAATAAAGGTTATAGATACGTAAACGTACAGCCTCAATGGCATCAATGAACTATTGAAAGGTGCAGTATTCATATGTTGTACTATGCCTGGCTAATTTCTTTTGAATAGGATACCACTTTCAAAAAAAGAGCTTGGCATAGCAGAATACATGAATATGGTCCGCCAAATAACGTTCAACCAACGCCAGTGCACAGCGTATGTAAAATCTATACGAGTCGATTCACAGTCGAAGCTAATACAATATGTCTGATATCACAATAAAATGGCCTACCAATAAGGACTTGTAAACCTTGCTTTTATCTTTGGATCCTTTTGAATTACCCAATGCAATTTGTATATTTTCGTCGCACCAAAGAGTTATTAGACTTCTTGTTTTTTCATCACTCCATTTCATGCATTTTGGTGTCGCCGCCATCTTTGTTTATTTTAATTCCCGCCATTTCCTTTTCGCGCTTATTATTGCTCATTTTGCTGATATAGCTAAAAACTCGGCACGGTGCCGCTTTTTTGACGGGCCGAGACTACCTCTTTTGGAGGTCCCGGCACGCTAAAATTTCAAGGCACCCGGTCCTTAAATTTTAGGCCTGCTATCCGTTTACACGAGAAAAATTTGGAGAGCCGCACTCAAGAAAACAGGTTCGCGTACCTAAAATTTGGAGTGCCGTGCCAAAATTGATTACCGTGTAAACGGGCCTGAAATGACGGATCGAGAGCGAGGGTCGATTAAAGACTTCAGTAAATGTAATTTCAAAGAAATTCATGCTTGTTATGTTCAGGTAATGATATTTTTTCTGTGTGTTGCATCTCAAGATCTTTTGTGACCTAATTATTTTGAGCGGTAAACTGACATTTTTGATAAGTTGTAAGAAAGTTGACTAGAAGAGTGTCAAAAGAGGTTGGATATTTGTCTACCATCCAAGATAAGATTTTTTTTAATTTAGACAATGAAAGAAGTAGCGCTTTTTATCCCATTGTCTTTGTTGTTTTTTTTACTTCATCCATAACTTGATTTTGAAGGTTTTCGTGCTCTGTAATTTATGAAAAGCAGTTCAGCATGATAATAACGTGTGATAGTTGTTTTTTGACTGAGTACATTTTCTTACAAATTAAGTTCGTTGTATATGAGAATTTATGGATATATGTAGACATAGATTGTCATGCAGTGTTGTTGTTGGATGTATATGGATCTACTTTGAATCTTGGTAAAAAAAATTTACAATATGAGATTGCTCATCTATTTATTAGGTTACGTGATTAGCATGTTGGATCGAGAATATCCAGGGAAGTTACAAGTACGTCATGTTAAATCCAACATCAAGGATCAAGGTAATGAATATGTAATAGTTGATTTGTGATGTGCAGAATGATGTTTTTTGAAAGTATGAGTTTTGACAGTTTAGGGAGAAAAAGATTGTCAGTTGTTTGAAACCTCGCGTAAATTAAAGGTATGTGCAACCATTTTTATTATTTTATGTGATTTGACTCTCCATATTGTTGTGTGGAGAAAACTGTTACATGAATCCATTTAAGATAATCTGAAATGCGACTTTTCTCAGCAATTCGCAAATCTTTGTCTAGAGTCCAAACTCAGAATCCCAAATCTAAACATTCTATTTATGCAAGACTCCAAAGTATGTATTGGGATGCAAGCGATGTCATGTTGATTTATAATGTTTTGGTAGGGTTTAATTAGTCAAATCTGTCAAGGATATAGGAATGATTGGAAATCTAAGGAAATGCGCGTATAAGACAAAGGTATATTCATTGTCAGCTGACGATTTTAACTCATACGAAACCAACGACGTTCCAAAATATTTTTGTGTAAATTAAAAATTAAATTTAGCAATTTTAATTTACTTTCTAATGGTGTTTAGCCATTATAATTTAATTCATATAAGTGTTTTACGATTCTAACTTATTTCTAATTAGTGTTCAGCAATTCTATTTTACTTTCTATACGTAGGTGCTCAAGAATTTAGAATTGTTTCATCAAGGGAAAACTGACGGGACGACCTGTTTGATAGGCCGACTGTGAGTTGAGAAATTTAAAACTATTGCTTGAATATTTGTTGTCGATTTACATCCAACATTCCCTAATATATCTTTAAAATATCTATTGAATAAATCTAACGCAATATCTGTGTTCTTCCTCAGAGAACATCATTAAAAAACATCTCTCAGATCTAATGGAAGGCTTCAGTGCCAAGTTCTTCCGTACATGCAGCAAGATTCTTGGGTTATAATCGCGGAAAGAAAGCTTTCGCCATATTATGTTACCATCAAGTGTAGTGTTATGGACATGGACTGCATAAAAAATTTGTGTTAAGCCTTAAGAAAGAAAAATTTATGTTTGTGAAAAGTAAAATGCGAGGACAGTTAATTATACTTATGACCGTGTGTTAACTATGTTTGCAATTTACTTTAAAGCATTACGTTCGTTTTCTCTCGTATAGTGATCCATTCCAAAGATGTGTGAACAATCCATGTCATATCTTCAGCAAAAGGTAAAGCCTGCTTATGGATATTCGACGCTCATGTGATAAACACGTGATATCATACGTCAACAAGTAAGATTATGTAGTTCAAATAATGTTTATTGAAATAGATTGATGACATGAAAAAAGCCATAAAGAATGGGAATGTTGAACTAAAGGAACTTAAACGTGAAGCTAAAGGAAGCAATTCAGTAAAACTTACAAAGTATGTGTCTTTAAAATACGACGCCAAAGAAACCAGTACACTTTAATATTTCTTAGGATTCTCAAAACTAAACTCAACTTATGAGAATTCTGCAAATGGGTTAACGATATTTTATGTAATTTACCAAATGTCCTACAAGATGATAAAACTTGTATCTATATGCAGTCTTGGAGTTGAGATGTTTGATGTCGTCATGAAGGATTTTAAACAATTGTTTTTTTTAAGGAAAATTGAAAGGAAAATGGTCACCATAGAACGTTTAAAGAACAATTGTTTAAACTGAAAGTCTCACAAACAGATAAGATATTTACGTTTTTGTTGTTACATGTTACAAAATTGGTTGAATTTGTCCTTTAAGTCAATTTGTTCTCTGATTTGCTACAAGTAAATGCATCCTCGTTGTTGCCAATTTCGTGATTTTTATTTTTCAGAATTTCAACAGAATAAAAATTTTGAAAATACTAACGTTTTTTAAAAAATGCTTTTCGCAGATCAACGCGTGTTTTGATAATAAATTATTTATATATGGTCACACTGTGCTTGCTACAATTTTTCACAACTGTGAAATCGTATGAAACCGCGTTTTTCTCTAATCATTTATTTTCATACGAATCTTTTCGTGCAAAATTGGCGTCAAACTATTTTTTTATCAGAACATGTATACATTGCATAATGTTCATAATCATCCTTACATTATTGTAAAGTCATAAAGAAATGGTCACCGGCAAAAATAGTTAAATGTAGGTAACATCATGGAACAAAAGTGGTAAAACAGTAGATATAAGTTACGCAACAAAAATAGATAGTTTACGTATTAACTAGAGTATCCTTCTCTTGCTTTAGTTACCACACACTTTCTAAATCACTTAGATATCCTTTCTTTTTAGTATATCAATCGTTATTTTGGATGTTAGTCATCAATTTTGCATTATAACACAAAGTCCATGAGAGGCTCTTTTGTTGATTGATTGATCTGATGTTAACTTGACTTCTTGAACTGTAAATATACGATTTAGGTGTCTAAAGAACGATGCTCTTATTGAGAAAATTTACAATAAGACGCAACGTCAAAAGTTTGCTAGGGCTATTGATATGACCGAAAAAGGCTTTGTTTTTTGAAAATTTAGTCTGCAGTTAGTGAAAATTTTAACTCTTTGTAACTTTCATTTTAACATATTCTAATTGGACGATTTTAACCTATTTATGTCATTCCTGCTTTTGTTTGAAAGCAGACAATTAAGGTTATTCTTTTGACGTAAAATCAAGACCATTTATTCATCTGACAGGAACAGCATTTCGAAAAGAAGACATGAACGACATTTCAAAAGGACGATGTGAACGACATTTTGAAAAGAATACATGAACGACATTTCAAAAAGTTGTTGCCATACAACTGTAAGCCATACATACTGCCTTACAAAATCCTGTAAAGGCTCACTGCACTGTATGTTGGTGACATCAAGTTTACGTCACAAGACGACTTGTTTTCGTCCATAGAACATGACTTGTCTAACAATGTTATAGCTCAACATGAACCTCAAGTGAATCCCTTTCTTCAACTTGGCAATGATGGTGTCATGGTTACAAAGCATAAGTCAAAGTAAATTATAAAACACATCATCTTGTAAACTCAAGATTTGATTTAAGAAAGCAAGAGACAAGATTTAAAACAATATTTCGACTTTATTTCAAAGACATTATAAAGCTAATTCAAAAAAACTATGTAATGTGAGTTTGGCGCAATAGACGGCTATAAATGTTATTCTATCTCAATCTATTGACATGCTGTAATCTGCTTGGCATGTTTCTCGTATCGCCGAGTGGTACAATATTTGGTGCAGTGGCCCAGCTTTTCCAAGTTAAAAAATGCGTCGTTTTGTGCAACTGATCACTATTTTGAATCCCCAGGTGCATTTATTTATAAATTTGTTGTTGGAAGTCATGTTAAGCTCTCAGTAGCAGTTGCTTTTTTGTGTTTGGAAAGATGAAATATAAACATGGTTAAAGCGCATTCCAGCTCATATCATTAATAAAAATCTTTTCTTTTCAGTGGCAATACTGATGTATAGGATGCTACTGGTCTTTGCATCCTTTTACAGCTTTGGAAAATAGTCAGGATTATAAACGGTCAGTATGCTTATTGATTATCTTTAAGAAGCTGCATTTTTTATTCTGTTTTGGTTTACAGAGAATTTTTTTATTTTCTGAACTATTTGGTTGTTTAAAAGATTGCTCTGTTTGGGAATATTGAAATTGACTACAAAATATATAATTGAAAAAAAAAGAAATAGATCACTTTGCAAATGCAAGTGGACAACTACAAGGTGAAATGTGAAGAACAAGAGGTACCGAACATAATCTTTCTTTATCATTACTTGGATGATTGACTTCTAAAAGATTCCTTTTGATATACTTGATTTAAAAAGTAGTTACAAGCATGACTTAAAAAGCTTGTTTCTATATATCTTAATTATTAGATTTTCTCCTTTTACAGAAAGAGTTGACCAAGCTTCAAATTGAACTTCAAAAAGATGAGAAAATATCGGCAGATCTTGACGAACCAAAACCTGATGATAAATAATTAAAACACTATAAATGTTTTGATTTTCATATAATACGTACATAAAATAGATATATATTAAAGATGAATACTTTTATAGAAAAATTTTATTGTCAGTCACACTTAGGTAGAAATGTATAAAAACTATATTTCTGCACAATGGTGACCTTACAAGACGTTAAAAGAGGTTTTGTTTTAAACTTTCCGCTCTTTAAATACTTTTTATATCACAACTTTGCGTTTATATGGTTAATGGTGGGAATTCATTTATAAAAATTTTGATTCAAAAGGATTTTTTACTCAATACATTCGTTTGTTCATGTTTATTATTTACATTTCATAAGATAATTAAAAGTGAGAAAATCGTTGACGTTTATCATTGTTTGTTACATTTTCTACTGCTTTCAGTAAATGTTGTAAGGTTAACAAAACAATTAAATAATTGAACAATATTATAAAGAAAACGAATAAATTAACGTTTTTCATAAAACATATGAAAGTTTGCAAAATGACTTTTAAATCAGGAAGTGTAATGGCTATAGATATGCATTAAGAGTTTGAGCTCGAGTTTCAGGTTGAAGTACTTTTCAGTAAGTTCACACTTCTCACTTTTCAATGCTTCACTAAGATATTTAGCATCTTCATCACCTATATTATTAAAAAACATTACCAACTTAGTAAGTTTACAATTCTTACTTTTCAATGCTTCACCAAGCTAAGTTATTTATAACCTTCATCACGTTCATTGTTTTGCTATATATACAATGTAGTAAGTTTACAATTCTCACTTCTCAATGTTTCACGAAGATATTTAGCACCTTCATCACCTATTTTGTTATGATATAGATACAATTCAGTAAGTTCACAATTCTCACTTTTCAATGCTTCACTAAAATATTTAGCACCTTCGTCACCTATTTTGTTTTGCATTAGATACAATTTAGTAAGTTCACAATTCTCACTTTTCAATGCTTCACAAAGATATTTAGCACCTTCATCACCTAGTTTGTTACCCGTTATAAGCAATTCCGTAAGTTTACAATTCTCACTTTTTAATGCTTCACTAAGATAATTGGCACCTTCATCACATATATTGCTGCCACTCATTCCCAACATAGTAAGTTTACAATTCTCACTTTTCAATGCTTCACTAAGATATTTAGTACCTTCATGACCCATATTGCCCTCATGTATTAAGAAACTAGTAAGTTTACAATTCTCACTTTTCAATGCATCACTAACATATTTAGCACCTTTATCACCAATGCTGTTATCTCTCATGTAGAACTCAGTAAGTTTACAATTTCCACTTTTCAATGCTTCACTAAGATATTGAACACCTTCATCACTTATACTGTTTTGATATATTGTCAACTCAGTAAGTTTACAATTCTCACTTTTCAATGCTTCACTAACATATATAGCACCTTTATCACCAATGTTGTTATCGCTCATTTCCAACTTAGTAAGATTACAATTCCCACTTTTCAATGCTTTACTCAAATATTGAGCACCTTCCTCACCTATACTGTTGTAATTTATTATCAACTCAGTAAGTTTACAATTCCCACTTTTCAATGCCTTACTAAGATATTGAGCACCTTCATCACCTATACTGCTGCAATCCATAATCAACTTAGTAAGTTTACAATTCTCACTTTTTAATGCTTCAATAAGATATTTAGCACCTTCGCCCCTTATATAATTGTGATCCATTACCAACTGAGTAAGTTTGCAATTCTTACTTGTCAAAGCTTCACTTAGATGCTTCCCAAAATAATTGCCGAAAGCACTCATAGAAAAAGTTAAGCTAATCAAATTTTTCGCTCCCTTATTTAACAAATAGTTTTTTAAAGGAAGAAAGCTATGATTATCAAGAAACTTGCAATCGTGAAAAGAAAGACGTGTTATGTGTTCACATTCAGAAAGAAATTCAAACATTGCGTTTGAATCAACAGGCGTAAAAGAAACTCCATCAATCTGCGTTTTTTGAGAAAAATTCTCTAACTCCGTGCAAGCTGACCTCAAGACATCTTTGTCCTGCAACTCGTATAGGCACTTTACTCCAAGAAAACCAAGGACTTTATCTCCAGTGAAGGAAAACATGTTTGAAATCCAATCTTTAAATCTACAAATTTAAAACACAAATATTATTTTGAAGCCGGTTTTTTTTGTTCAAGAAAAGGTCGTAGGCTATGTAGCTAATGTTGCATGATATGAATTTGATTTGTCAATGCAATAATTCAAGGCCCGTTTTAAACATCCCAATTTACATCTGCTAAATGCATTCGAAACAGATATGATGAAAAAATTCTCGTTTTCTTTTGCTTGAAATTAACGGGCTAAAAATCTGAAGCAATTATTTAATAAACAATTTAAGGATTAGAGTAGCCAGTAAAATTTTAAAAAACAAATTTTGTTCAATATATTTCGTGTTACAGGCACCTTTATTGTTTAAAAAAAAATTTTAGTGTTGTCAACACCGATCACTTAATATTTCTTAAAATTAGAGAAGCTCCAATGGTCTAAATATTCAATTATACCACTGCCTATAAAACTCTTTTTTATCATATTTAATGTGAATAATTTAATAAATGTAATTAAATAAGAATCCCATCATTAATACTAATCAATCAGCAATAACGATGACATTTTCATACTGTCAAAACGTCTTTTGTTTGAAAAATAGTTTTCCTTATTAAATGTGATTTAGGGTTGCTGCCCACCCACTTAGGAATAAATGCATGAAGATTATGTGCAATGAAAATGTAGCATGAAAAAATATCATAGTTTTTTTTTGTAAAAACTGCTTTGACAATGCCTTTTGTAAATATGATAGGACGATTTCCGACAGTAGCTAAGTAAATTAAAAACATTGAATATTCAAAATAACTGTTTAGTTCTTAAGGTAACGTTTATAAATTGCCAATTACTTTTAATGTAAAAGACAAATTAGTTTTTTCAACAGACCATACGAGCGATATGCTATGATATTATTTTATTCAATATTCATTATTTATTTTACAACTATTGAGCAGTATATTTAGCAGACGTTGACACGTGAAGAGTAATCTCCCGAACTGCATCGTGTCGTATAGTTTCATAAAATATCTTTTGGAACTATTAGGTTAGTACTCTTTACTTAAAACAGTTCTTTTAAGAACTATTAACTTATTACTTTTACCATTCACCATAGTATTTGCTATCTTGAAAACGATTTTCAGATTTGTCACCACGATAAAGTCTCTAATTTATTATTAAACTAATATGTACAGTTATTTAATCTATTTCTAGTAAAGCCTAGGGCACCACCAAAGGCTAATTGACAGAGGGCCCACCATAGCTTGCTACGCTACTGAACTCAATCCCCCCCTCACAAAATCAGACAGTATTTTATCGATAGATACATAGAATCAAAGATTCTGTTTTCATCTTGAAGGGTCAAAGTTAAGGGGTGAGGGCGTTGGACTTTTGTTGAATCTACCCACAATATCAATTATTTAGAAATGGCAAACCTATTTTTGCGTTTATAACACTTATATAAAAATTTTCGCGAAAAGATGTGTGTGTGCGTGTGAGGGAGAGAGAGAGAAAAGATAATATGACTGAAGTCAGCCATTTACTTTATTTCGTAACATTTAGAATTGGTGTATACACCATAATAAGTTTGTAACAGGAGCACACACAGTGAGCAATGAGAATGCAGCAGCAAATGAGCAATCTAGAAAGCCTTTACAAGAAACTGAATTAGCTATAGGTAAAATCTCATATGAGCAAGGCTGAATGTAGAAATCTAGTTATTTAACAATTTTCTTTTCAATTTAATTAAAGTATGCGAAACCTTTTAAATATTTTCATCTGGATCCTGAGGCTTTTAGCGCATTTAAAATTAGTTGGAAACCATATTTATTTAATGATCTCCCTCAACTTAACATTATACCTATACTTTTACAAAAAAATCGAGAGGAGAAGACCACGATATTGATAGTAGTTTCGAGACGGCCTAAACAACTTTCGTGGCCATATGTATTATGCAATGCGTATGTATGGCGCGCCGATACAGACAAAAATACTTCTTCTAAAGATGAAACTTCTATTTCAAATTTATTACTATGTTTGATATAAAATTATAGTACTTCTGAAAAGTTTAATACTTTATTGCTGCCTGCAGTACGCCACATGTAATTTTTTGTAAAACTTCATGTTGTCGAATTTCGATGTAAGTTGTAAGATGGCGGACAAAATGATAGACAAACTAATCGAGGCGGTTAAAGCCATAAAAGAAAACCGTTCTGTTGAAGAAAATATGAAGAAAGAAGATTCAAAAATATCAACAGAGGAAGCTCTTGGTAATTTATTTCCAAGCATAAGTGCTGCTTCATCTAGTCGTCAAAGTGAATTAACTTATCGATATAATCCAAAAGCTAACTACGTACCAAAGAAAGGCTATAAACGATATGGCTCCTCTTCATCTTCATCATGTAGTCATACAAAAAGAAAACCAACTGAAGTAAAGTTGAAGTACCTGCTCAAGGACTTTATTTTACTAACAGGTCCCCAGGTGGAGACTGTGCCCCGAGGTCGTTTTAGGGAGTACCTTTATGCAAATGGTTTTGCTGAGTCAGCCGTGGCAGTCGATGATGAAATGACTGAGGATGAAGTCAGGAGCAAAATATCGTGAATTATTAAAGAGAAACTTGCTAGGTTAACTACTCATGAAAATAATTTTGAGTTTGTTCGAGCGATTGGCAATCAAATAGTTAAAGTAAATAATGGGCCTTTCACGGGAAAACTTTTGAAGCATATTTCCAAACAGGGAACAGTTTATGTTAGAACACTGGTGGCAGTACCAAATGCTGGTTTAAAAGGATGGAGAGCTGACAAAAGTGAAGACTCAAGTGATGATGATTTCTTAATGTCACCAACATTTGAAATGAAAAATGACATAAAGTCAGATGTTAAGCAATCTATGCCTCCACGTATTGAAGTCATAGACTGTGACAAAGAAGATAATAATGCGAAACAAGAGCAAATTGATTCGAAAACATCTTTGGCTCATCACGTTTCATAGCATCTGGGTAATTTATTATAGCAGTTTCTATAATTTTGTTTTCAAGTAGTTTGCTATTGAGTTGAATTCGTGTTTTTAGTGAGAGAAGTCATAGTATGATGTAATGATGCTTTTGCCATGTTTTCATCTAAATTATAGTAAAATTTTAGGGTAATTTTCAGCATTATTGTTGCAAGAGTAGATCGTATGGCAAATATTTGGAAATAGTGAATGACAAAGAAGAGGAAGACATGCAATATGCGCTTTTGTTTCTTTGGAGGCAAGTCAAAACATGTAAGTTGGTTGAAAGTTGATCAATGTTTTAGGATGCTAATATTTTGAACTTTGCTTTAACCATTATTTTCTCATCATATACTGATAATTAATGTATTTTAGAGAAAGCAGGCCATTAAAAATAGATGTTAAGAAGCTGTTACAGCAGCATAGCATCATTTGTATAAAAAGCAATTCATCAAATGAAATTATTGTAAGGCGAAGCAAACTTCTTGCAACTGCATTTGTCGCCATGAAATCGAAAAGGTTTGATTGCTGTGAAGATTTGATAATTCATTTCAGTGGAGAAGATGCAATAGATGCTGGAGGGCCACGGAGAGAATTTTTCAGGTGAAATAATGCATTCTATTTCATTCAATAGTTATCGAGTAAGGTGTTGTACAACACGATGGTGGGTGAGATTGTGTTGCATTGACTATATTACGATGAATAATTTTTTATGCCTTTACAATAAGAGCGTACCTATTTTAGACTAGCCAGGCAGGAAATCGTTCAATCTTCAGGTCTCTTTGAAGGATACAATGGATGTAATCTGATTTTTACTCACAATGTGAAACTTCTTGAAGAAAAGCAGTATTGGTTAGCAGGTCGCTTGGTTGCGTTTCATTGACGCAAGGTGTCCCCGGCTTTGGATGTCTTAATTCTGCTGTGCATGATTTAATGTGTGAAGCACCATGTGATGTAAATGACTTTGATGTTTCACTCATACCAGATTATGAAAAAGCAGCTATGCTCTCAAAGGAAAAGTTGTCTTATAGTGTCTCTTAAAATTCCTGCATTTCAAGTAGTGATGCACTTTAGTAATTCTAGAGCTGATAATCATTAAAACATTCTTAAGCTGAAGCAATTGGAAACACAAGAAGAGTTCATTTCATTTGTCAAAGAAAATGCTGACAATATAGCCAGCCGAGGATATCCGTCAATATACTTGGCTAGCTTTGAGCAAAGGGATATCATTATGAAGTCGCTGGTTAAGCAGCACATATTTTACAGGTTATAGGTATGAAATGTCAATAAATTCATGTTTCATTATTTACTTTTATGTTTTATGTTATATTATGTACAGTGTTTTCTGAAATTGAGCAATTTAAAATGGGAATAACTGATATCGGAGGTCTTTGGGACACAATCAAGACACATTCTGATGAATTCAAACATTTGTTCACAGAAATTCCAAAGAAATTTTCTAGAGAATCATTCAAAGCCATATACGAAATTGAGTGGAGTCCAAAAGGTAGTAATAACAGAATAAAAGAAGATGAAACAAAATATTGTTGGGAAATCGTTTTGAAAAAAATTGAAGGTGTGCATTTCATTTATGTCACAATTGTTTTTAAATCTTCATTATCATCAGTCGCCCAGTTGCAGCGATACATTATTGCTGTACCTTTTGATGAAGAAATTCTACGCCAAAATTTGTGTTATTTTTTAGACAATGAGATGTTCTACCAGACTGAAGAAAAATCAATAATTGTTCATTTTCAGCATTTGTTACAGTTTACGACTGGTTCAGAGTCCATCCCACCAACTGGATTTGAAAATTCCTTAACAATAACATTTTACGATCAAGAAGATGGGCAAACTAGGTATTCTTCCACTTGTGCCATGTCACTTGCACTACCAAGAGGATATGAAGACCCAACTATGTTTGAGGAACTTCTTCTAAGATCTTTATTTGACTCATGCAGTTTATATAAAATTTGACATTTCTTTGATACTCAAACATTTCAACTTGTTTTAGCACTGTTCTTGTTAAAAGTTAAGGAACTAAGATTTGTTATGTT